TAAAAATGAGAGAGAGAAACAGTTATTATGATTGAATACAATTTTACGATTGTATTTTATACAGCTGTGTTAACAATCTTTAATGGAGATTAAGTTGAGGTAAACCCACGGGAATTTAACGTGGGAAGTATTGAATATCACTAGGTGGGGTATTAAATTACGAATTGAACACAATTATTAAATTACATAGTCCATAGAGTTGGTATTTTTAAAGTTTCAGCAAAGTGCATGGAATCGATTAGTTTAAATATACAATATAGTAATATTCAATTTTTAATTTCAATAATTCAAATTTAAAAATGCTTTCTTAGCGCACGTCTACATCATAATAGCTATCTGTATGCCAAATTTCAGCCAATGGTTTGAGCTGTGCGTTGATAGCAGTCAATCAGCTTATTGTTTTATATATACAGATAAATAAAAACACTGTTCAACACACAATTATTGATGGAAGACGATACTTTAACACTCCTACCTCACCCCCTTAGACTAACACCACCACAACTAAAACTTTATAGTATAAAGGTTATTAAAACACATTATAAGATAAAATAAAACAAATATAAGTTTTATCCACTGATAAATAAAAATATATCTCAAGTGGTGACAAAGTTAAATCAGGCATTTGAAAGACAWAMAAAATCACTAATATGTATGATTTTAAGTTATATAATAACATTGGTTTAAAATACTATTAACCACTTGCTTAGTAAATTAGACAATAAATCTATGAAAATATTGTATCCCCTTAAATGTTGGTTGTCAATTGACTAATAATATCTTATTTTGCATTAGCTTATTTATTTTAACTTAAAATGATCAATTAGACACAACTTGTACACAATTTATTTATTGAAGAACAATATTGTTCTTGTTTAATTATAGGTTAGAACCTTATTAAACCTGCAGAAATAAAACACAAATTTATAAACATATAATGATGACGATGTAATTTATTTCAATAATTGTGTAATGAATTTCAAAACAAAAATTCACAATGTCTAAACTGCGTTACAATGCATATATGATTGTAAATTGTGTAAGTGAAAAATATAAAATTATGCTAATTAGCTTATGAATACAATACATTAAAATATAATATTAATATTAATGTGTATTACTTAATTAAGTTACTTATTGCTTTTTTTTAAATGCACAAAAATTAATAATCAAACCATATKAATAGTGTTTATAAAAAATAACAAATTATAAAAAAAAAAAAATTATACAACACAATGGGCACAATTATGTGACAGAAATAACAACCTTAAAATGGTTATTTCTTACTAATAAAGCACAGATAAAGAAGTGCGTAAAAAAAATATTCATATATCATAGATATTATGTAAATAAGATATTTAGCGTGTAAATTAGATAATATTTGTAATTAGACTATTTAATTAATAGAGTAATAACAATGTTGCATGAGACCTAAGACACACAAACAAAGTATATAATATTCAGTATTACATTAAATGAGATTWTGTGAAATCGTGAGAGCATTGTCGAAATCTTTGATTGATGTAATAAAATTGTCAAGTCCACATTATTAATAATATAAGTGAACAATACAAAATCACTAGCTTAGATTTAGTATTATATTAAATCATATTATGCAGATAGTTCAGGGAGAGCATCATCAGGATCTTCATTTGATGTTGTATCAGGTGGTCGAGTCCACTTAATTAACGTTTCAGGTGACCGATATAAGAACACTAGTTTAGCGAATAGGTCTTCTTCCAAATCTAATTCACCACTTTCTCTCACTAGATAAATATCTAAACACAGTTGTAAGATTCTATCGACGTATGGCATATCATCAAACATAATTTTGGTTGATATACCAGTGAAAAAACCACGAACAAATGTATGAACAACAATAACAAACGTTGTATACAGTCCAATAATCCTATAACAAAGTTTAATACATTTATTATTGTTTGATTTGATTTGATTATGATTTTTTGAAAAATAAATTTATACATGTTTTCATTAATTTACATAATTAATATTATAAGTCTAATAATAAAAAAAAAACATAAATTTAAGTATTTTCAAAATTCTACATTCAAAGTCTAAAGGTACATTAGAATAACAACTTCTAAAGTTCATGCCATCGTACAGTTTTATTATTATGTCTGAAAATAAATTTGAAATCCAAATGATGCCTGTGTCAGTGATCCAATAGAACAATTACAAATATTAAAATAATTGTCGTTGAGTTCAGATAAAACATGATGATTCAATTATGAAAAAATACCGCAACAAAATTTAAAATATATATGATCGTAATAAATCTAATATTTATATTTTACCCACTAAAGTTTGATCTAATTAGGTTTTTATTTCTCATGATAAGTTATGTGATGCTTAAGAGAAGGTGATTTGAGAAAACACAAGTTCAAAAAGGGCACCACGAGTCATCAAAAAAAAAATTTGGGACTAACTGTATTGGAATGTAATTTTATAAATAGATTTTTAAGTTATTGTAAATTTGAATTAAAAAAATATAAACATATTAACACAATGAGTTATGTTTTTATGCATAATATTTCTTTTACCCTTTTCCACTAATGAGGTTCAAAGTTTCTGGAAATGCTTTGTCATTAAATGTATATATTGTGAATGTATGTTTGTTACCGCCAGGAATACATGAACTTTTGGGCAAATCATACAAATATCGTGCAGAAGTTTCATTGGGACATTCTTCATATAAATCCCACCATTTTTCACTGTCATTGTTTTGATTGATGCTATTTAAAAACACACTTGCATTCATATATGGCACAGCTAGAAAGTAAAAATTAGAATAATTATAAAATATCCACTGATTTGATAGAGAATGATAAAATTAAATATTACATACTTTCATTACTGATCATAAGTTGTGATACAGCACTTGCTCCTCCAAATCCAGTGACCTTTATAAACTTTGGTATTAAACCATACAATGTGACACTGTGATTTTTATAAGTAATGAGATTAGCCAATTCTGCACAAATTGTTTGGTTAATAGTGATCTCATGACTATCTTTAACATCTTTTGGTTGYTCTCCATAGGCATTCTTACGGTTAATAGCCCAATCAGTTTTAACTGTGTAAGAGGCATCTATACAGTCATAATTAAGAATACAAATTAGTAAGATACAAATTGTATAAAGATTAATTTCAATAAAAAAGGACATTTTTCAAAACATTACTAGGTGCGCTAAGTTTTTTTATCATGTTTTCCAATTCAGGTGGACTGATTGACCATGTATTTGCTGAATGGGTTGTTATGGTGAAAACACCAACATCTTCATAATCATAGTTTGACAAGAATGTTTGTGCCGATCTAGACTTTTTGTAAACATTTATCATAGAATACCAATCAGATTCATCAAACCTGAAAAAAATACAAAATATTCTTTTAATGGCTCATAAGGTCATGCACTAAAATTGCTCAAATATGTATGCAACTATGCTTTTAAAATAATCAAACATGAAATTCAATACATAGTTAACAACCTTYGCAATAAAAACTTATATTAATTTTTTATAATTAACAAACAAGACTTAATAGAATCCTAATTATTTTGATTACAAACTTGTATTAATAAAACAGTTGAGTTATTGAAATTCAATTTTTTTATTTTGTCTCTAGGAATTTCCTATACACTCATTGCAATATTTATTGCGATAAGTCAAATATAAAAATAGTTGAGCATAGATTACTTAAACTCATATCTTAGGTTTTATCATTG